AGCACGTGACAAAACAATCGAAACCCAAAAACGTGACTCAAAGCCATAAAATTCAGGACTTTAGATGCACATTGGTTAACACGAGAAAAAAGTATTTTGATAAATGCTAGTTAATTTGGGCTTATGATGAGGCGAAGCCTATTAAGAACAATTGATAACACTTTCGGGGTTCAAATGGTGGACATAATCGTGTAATTGAGCATGAATTACTATTGCTAACCTTAGAATTCCTCTCCCTCCCGCTACTCTAAATAGTCATATTATTTGAGCTCTAGATTAGTTCTAATTGGAGTAACAAAGCCCCAGATGCAATCCATCATGTATAAAAACCCGCCTATAACTAAAGAGTAATTTGTATTATAAGTATTGTAATAAAGACTCACCTAACGATAACCCGGGGATCCAAAATCTTTTGAGTTATCTAGTTATTTGTTGTTGAGACTCAGTGATTCCAAATACTCCCTTCATATCTCCCAGAACTTTTTATTGAAAACATTAATATTGATGCAATTAGTAAAAGTACCATTACTAATATATAAAAAAAAAAAAAAAAAATTTTTTCCACTCGAAATGCAGTATCATATACCAAATAAATACAAATATTACCTTTATATAACTCTGGCATTGCTTATAAGTTTATTTGTTTTATTTTTATTTCAAACAAGAAATGAATAATCGTGAAATTATTCGTCTGAAAAGCATAATATATGAACATAATATCCACCTCCACTGTAAGAATTGAGTCTTTAAAATTCTTTAGTTTTATTAAAAAAGAATCTGAAATTATAATTAAATATGATATGGAAAAATTTATAGTAAAACCAGATACTGTAGTGTCTGCTTTTTTTTACCAAAGGATATTCTGTAAAAGCCATTTAGATAATGACGAAATGAAGTAAGAAGAAAAATATATTCAACTTTGGGGTTAACATAATCAAGTATACATTGTATTGAAATCATCCAGTGGTCGCATAATTGATAATATGAAACTTCGTGACATGATTGCTATCTGGATCATCAACCATCAACGTCCAATTTCTCAATTTCTATCTCTCAATTTCTATTCCTCAATTTCTCTCTCAATTTCTATCTCTCAATTTCTATCTCAATTTCTATCTTCAATTTCTATCGTTGAAGATCCCAAGTTAATTGAAAATTCGGTGCAACTAATCAGAAATCGTAACTTTTGTAAAGGTAAATAAACCTTATGATTCCCTGAAGTACCTGAAGTATGACATGTCTTTATAATTTTGGCACGAAATTTACAATTGCAATTATTTTTGCAGTGCATGTGTACGTGTAGAGATTGGAACCGTTTAACCGCAAAAAAATTTTTTATAGTGCCGGGCTGAATTATGTTTATCATGGGCCAGGACAATTTTAATGCCGGCTAAATTTTTACGGTTAATACGGTTAAACGATTAACGGTTAAGAAAATTTTAAGCGGTTCCAATCCCTATCTGCTATGTACGTGTTAGACCGGAAGAGTACACCAATGCAGAAAAAAAGAGAAAATTTTGAAATTATAAGATTGTTCTTCGATGCACGTATGAAATTTAGATTTTTTAGAAGATTGTGAAGGGTGGATAAACATATTAGTTGAAAACTAAACTATAATTAATTTGAAATAGGTAATAATAAAATCGTTGGGATCAGGCTTAGAATCGAAGTTGCTCTTAAGAGTCTTGAAGTCGATAATCCAGATGACAATGCTATTTCTGTTTAAACAGTTAATTTTCTCTAGATACAGTTTGATAAACTGCACTTAAAAAAAAAAAACGCCATTGTATGTAGACTTTCAAAAAATTAGATTTTTTAAAACATTCTTCAAAACCGGATATGTAATTGTGAATATAGTATATATTTTGTAAAAAAAATTTCTAAAAAAATACGTATTTGATTTTAAATAAATCTCAAGTTGTGTTTTGTTAACAATCCGGTAATGTGACCCGTAAACAGGTAAGTAATCTAGTGTTTAAATTCTATGCGCTATGGCGAATTTATCGTTATAGGTGTCAATGGCACTATATCAGTTTTATCAGTATGTAGCTAGCCTAAAACTCCATGTTTAAAAAACAATATCGATATAGTTTAGCCTGCCAATTAAGACAAAAATTTATGCCCAAAAAAAAAAAAAAAAAGTAATTAGTGACGAGTAATGTAAATAATGTATATTTATCAAGGCGAGGCTCAAGTATCAGAATATCGTTGAGATCTTAAACTGTTGGGGCTTAAGCGGATCTGAAGCATTACAATATTATATTATTTATTGGAATATTGCAATAACACTGTATTACGATTGAAGGTTTATAGCACTAATTAAAAAACTTTAATGCCAATTAAAATATTGTGCTGTATCACATCATTAATCCCTGATGTATCTAGGAATACTTGCCCGAGAGGGGATAAAAATTTTTTTGTATCATTTCTCATTGATCTAAATCCATTATTCGAATAAATTGCTTACGCACTATATCTCTAATGAAATAAAGTATATTTGATGTTACACGAGAAAGTAAGACTCAATATATATACAAAAAGACTTTTTTTGTAATGATCAAAATCTTATGAGTGAATTATCATCATTATAAAAATCGATCAGCAAATTTTGAAAAAAAATTGATCGGCTAAGCCCTTTAGCAGAGTTTTTCAAGATCGCCAGCCTTATTCTTCGTAGCCTGTGCGAGTAACCTAGCTTGTTTCTTCTTACGTTCATAGAATTCCTTACTCTTCTCTTTACGTCTATCCTCAAGTTTTTTAACAATATCCTTGTATTTCCAACCGACTTCAGAGGAAAGACGAGAAATTGTGGTATATTTGCGACCAGGCTTAAGACGCAAAACTTTTAATGCAGCAGGAATAACCATACGTTTTTGTTTGTCATATGGAGGTGGTATTCCTTCAAAAATCTTGAGGCGACCTAGAGCAGCAGCACCACGTGGAGTCTTATGCGGAACCATACCACGAATAGTTTTAAAAATGATCTTGGATGGTGCACGGAAGTGGAAAGGACCACGCGCAGGATTGACAATCATACGCTTACGGAGGTATCCATGGTATTTAACTATACATTATATATTTATCATCATATATAAAATAATCTATTTTTAAGTAATTAATATAATGTAAAGATAATTATGATAATTAAAGTAGAAAAAATTGAATATACTCTTATTTCTAAAGAAGGACCCGGACACATTCACCTCCTCAGCACGTACAATGACTATCTTTTGGCCAGTTAAAATCTGTTTTGCCACAATAGATGCCAAACGCCCGAGAAGGTGACCCTTAGCGTCAACAACAATCACCTAAAAGATCAATGCGATTTAATGTTATTAGTTCAGTTAAAAAAAAAAAATTAAATAAATAATTGAAAGCTAAAATTTCCTCCTAAAATTATAACAGCCTGCCTTTATAATTTCCACATAATCAATACCTTTTCAAAAGTTCTCATATTGGCAAAAGCACAATAATTTTGAAATGGATCTATCGTCCTTTATTTGAAGAGGAGGATCCATCAAGTTTGCTCAAGTGCTTTTAAAAAAAAAAATTTTTTTGATGATTTGTGAGACCAAGATCGTGTAACACTATCACCTATCACGTGCTTTTGTATAAATTATATGATCCAAAAAGAAAAAAAAAACTATAAAAGGGACAACTCTTAACATTTTATTCCCGTTAGAGTTTTAAACGTTTAAAAGATGCGCACTTTTCTAGCAGTCATTATAATTTCATTATCTGCTGTATGCCTTTCGACAGCATATACAATAACACTTCAACCAAGTACAAAGGAATGTTTTTATGAAGAATTACGTCAAGGCGATAAAATGACCATTACTTACCAAGTTGGTGATGGTGGACACTTGGATATCGACTTTATGGTAAATTTCTAATTGTTTTTTGTGGGAGATGGTGCGTAAATTGGAATTAAGAACAAAATCGACCAATGAAAAAATATAGTGTAGGAACTAGTAGCCAATTGTTTTAACAAAACTACTGAAGCGTTCACAAATAAATTTTTTATAAAATATTACAATTCTTTAGATAATTGATCCGAATGACCATCTTTTAGATTCATCTGAAAGACAAAGCACTGGAACATTTAGTTTTAATGTTGAAGTACCCGGTCGATATACTTATTGTTTCAGTAATGAAATGTCAACTGTATCTGAAAAAGTCGTTAGTTTTAATGCCCATGGAATTGTTTCTATCCCAGATGATGGATGTGAGTTTAAAATTAAAAAATCTTGGTTCTTATGTGGAAAATTTCTATTATATCATTGTAAGTGTTAATCAAATAATACATATATTTTATAATAGCACATACAGATCCTTTAGAAAAGGAAATTCGTGAACTTGCTGAGGGTCTTGCTGCTATTAAGGATGAACAAGAATATATAGTGATGCGAGAACGTGTACATAGAGATAGTAAGTACTCAAATTTGTAGTCAATATTATTCAACAAATCGAATTGCATAATTAAAAATTTACTTTATTCTCCGCTATCACTTATAGCCGCTGAAAGTACGAATGATCGAGTTAAATGGTGGTCAATTTTCCAATTTATTGTTCTTTTTGGGGTATGTTTTTGGCAAGTATTTTACTTAAAGAGATTTTTCGAAGTAAAACGTGTGGTTTAAAATTAGAATATCACTAAATATAGCATTTATTCTGAGAGTGAAATTTAAGTCAAAATATTGGTATTTGTTGTTATTTATTATTTTTCTCTAGATATGGTTATTTTTTTTATAAAAAAAGTATCTTTAATATATTGGCAAATTGACACTGTTTAGATGACATAAATTGATGTTTATTAAAATGTAATTTGTAATAAAGAGTTTTTTTTTTTTTTTGTTAAAATTATATATACAAAAAAGGATTAAAATCTGCCAATAAGAGTTAGTAATTTTCTACCTAAATTTATACTGTATATATAAGTGTTATATTAAGATTCATCCTTCTTAATAACGTTGCTTTCATAATTTTTCTTGGAGATTGTTTTTTCCAAATAGCTAGTAACTAATTTATCCAAATAACCACCAACTCCATTAGTTTCCCCCAAAAGCATAGGCTCAACAATTTTTTCTACATATTTACCCAACATATCAACTTCAATATTAACCTTATCACCAACTTTTTTTCAAAGGCATTGTAACATGGCTTTGAGTATATGCAACTAACATAATATTAAACCAATTTTCTGCATCATTTACTTCGCAAACAGTTAATGAGATACCATCTAGGCAAATATAACCCTTGGGGATTATATAACGAAGGTATTTAGGATCCGAAGGTGAAATTTTGATCCAAAGAGAATTTCCTTCTGGAGTCATCGAAATTATTTCTCCTGTTGTATCAACATGACCCTATAATAATAATGAATGAAAATAAGAGAACAGGTAGAATATAGAACTATTTAAGATATTGATCATGTAATGGTTAATATTAATATCAGTAAATAAAATTATTGGCGGATATCGTGCCATTAGCACACATGATATGTTATTATCCAATACATGATCCAATATCAGATGGCATCATGACCATGCTCCACCAATCAATATGACTTCGTCATTATTAAGAATTAAGTCATGGTCATATTATTTGTCCGGTAATTATTGATATAGTTTCTTTACTTGTACAAAATGTCCACCAAATCTAACGTTAGCCGCAAGCGCTCTTTCTAGATTTACTTTATTTCCGATTACCAAATCACCTTTTTATATAAAATGTTAAAAAATAATTTGATTATGTTAATAAATAAACTGTGAAAAACACATATCCATTCCTACCAAGGTTAGTTCTTCGAAGTGTTTCAGGAGCAAGCCCAACTTTGAACCAGTCAGTGCCAAAGGCAGTTACCGTCAAACAAGTACCTGGTAGAGAGAATTTCGATAAAATCCATGAGAAATTCTTTTCTTTTTTTTTTTTTTTTTGATATATTATGAAAAAAAAACTCACCATTAATGCTAATGCTGTCGCCAAGCCTACAATCAGATAGTACGGGCTCGGCGTCCCCAATTTTCATTGACCAACCATCACCACCAGTAGCTGAATGATCCAATTTTTGGATCTCTACAACCTCTCCCATGTGTTCTACTATTCCCGTAAACATTTTAAATTGATCCAGATATTTCTAAAAGGCAAGAAACCTGAATTTATGTATTTATATCAGTTATCGATCTAAAAAATTAAAATTTCACCTGCATTAAAATCGACAAATCTAATTCTGGTTAAAAATTTTTAATAAAATTCACGTTATTTGTAAAATCTCAAATAGCAAAATAGACCAATCATAATGCAGAAACCGGAGTGTCAAAAATTTCATGTGATTTTACATAGCGTCTTGGCACGTCCTTACCGTTACAAACGCACGTAAAGAACTTTTTTCAAACTTATTATATATATCTGATATAGGATATATAGAAAATCATTATTTTTTTTATTATAAACAGTTTGTATATGTATAGGGTTTATAGTGACCCAGATCACGGTGCTTTGACCATTCATTGTTTAAAGTACGCGATAGACTTAATAGTAAGATAATTAAAACACATTCTTGTCATTAAGTCCTCGTATATGCCTTTTTATAATAAATAGTCTAAGTTCGATACCCAGTTGGAGCGGTTTGGTAAATGGTACTGCGTTAAAGTTTTTTTTTTCTAATTGGCTATCTTCTATTATATCTAGGAGTGACTAATACAAACTTCTGAAAAGAAGGTGCTAAAGCGAAGCAATTATTTAAACTAACTGTTGATAGGACCCCGGATAATTCTAAAAAAAGGTGGCATTATTAAACCGGACTTTTTTTTTGGCTCAACCTTTTTTAAATTTTGGTCAAAATAAAATTAAATTTTAATTTTGGCCAAAAAATTTGGATCTCGGTTGACACCAGTCACATGATCGACATGCAACAGCCAATAGAAATCTATACAATATAAAATAATTATTTAAAAAGTAGAAAATATATAGATCAGTTTTCATATGATTTTTGTAATATAGTCAGACCTCTCTAAGTGCACCCTCTATAAGTGCACACCCTCTCTAAATACACGCTCAAGTGCCGGCCCAAGTATATACTTGACCTTCATAAATGCACCTTTTCTTATTATTCTCTATATGCATATTATTAAAGTGTGGTCCCAAGGGCGTGCACTTAGAGAGGTCTGACTGTACTGTAAGATTTATACATATGAATAATTTTAATTTATATTTTATAAAAAATCATATTGTAAAAAGTTTACTATTACTATGAAATAAACTATTAAGCATAACAATTGCTTCTAAAATATATAATAATATAATATATGAATTTAGATATTAGAATAACAATCTAAAGATATGGCAATTTAGTGAAGTAGTGAAGTTGTCACATCTCCAAATGGCAGATTTAAAGTTCAAATTTTATAAATAATAATTTTAAAAATTAATTCTGTAATATAGTTACCATAATTTTTCATGCAAGGTACCTGGGTACACTAAATTTCACATAATAAAAATTTGATTTGTACCCTCCGAGTATGTTGTATAGTAGAGAGTATGTTATTTGGAGGGTTTTATATCAGAATCCTGACACACAAAATCCTGATACACAAAATCCCGGCAACAAAATCCCGATACACAAAATCCTGACAAATTAAAATCCTAAAAATATTAAAATTAGGAGTTTCATTTATCAGAATTTTGTGTATTGGGATTTTGTTGCCAGGATTTTGTGTGTTGGGATTTTGTGTGTTGGGATTCTGATATACAACCATTTTATTAGTCTCTTCTTTACTCCCAACCTGTAACTTGAAAGATTTAACCCTAGCTAGACTCTAAATGCTTTATATTCATCTCTTCTTAGTATATAATTTTATAGCACATATCCTTTTTCTCTGATTGGGTCTAGCTAGTCTCCAGGAATTATCCAGCTTTTGTTAGATAGAACCTAATTTTCAAATTCCAGTTATAGTGAATAGCTATTCCAGTTTTTCATACTAGCTAACTACATTGGTATGCTAGCCTTCTTTTTAATAAATGATTAGGTTGATAAATCTTCCCACTTAAGAATCTTGTTGTTATTTGGTTCTCCAATCTTAGCTATTACTTCTAAATTTAGCTTTTTTGTAGTACTATTGAAAATATCTACTATATCCTTATTTAGGTTTTTCTAAATAAGTTTTGATTATCCCAGTTTCTTAGTATTTCTGTATTGAAGCTTCTATAATAAGATAGTACAACCAAGATTACAAATTGTAAATCTAACCGATTAGTAGATAATTATTATCTAATGCAGATTTATTTTTTGAAAAATATTATCTATGAGATTTAAACTCTAGATCTACTACTTGGTGAAGTGATGACTAGACCACTTCACTAAGCTATTACACCCTTTTTTTTATTAAGTTTTACTTTTTGTATATATATATTTTTTCTCTCTTTATATTAAGTCAAATAGTATAGTTAACAAAACCAAATTTCTATATTATAGTTTTGGCAATAATAACAGAACTTGTAATTCACTGTATTGTTTAAAGTTTTTTTTTATTTTAAACCAAACTACTATTAATTTATTTTTTTTTAAAGTGTGATTTTTTTTTAATTTCTTTATTATTTATTGTATAAAATTTTACAATATATTTATATAAATTTTTAAAAAAATAAGAATTACGCTACTTTACTTTAAATTTAAATCTTAGCTAAATAAATTAAAGACCTCTAGATTACAAATCTAAAATATTAAGTAAGGGTAAATTGAAATTAATATAAACAGTGGTCTATAGTAAAAGTAAATTACTATGTTAAAGGTGGTGTAGATATAGAAAGCAGTATTAGAGATAGAAATATATAATAAAGTAAAGTTGATATTTGTAATTTTAATTCAATTAGATATTCATAGTTTCTTTTTAATTATATAGATAAGTTAGAGGTGTGGCGATCTAGTATAGTGGTTAGATTGTTACTCTCACCAAGTGGCAGGTCAAGAGTTCAAAACCTACCGAAGGCAGAAAATTTGAATAATTATCTGTGTTATGGCAACTGTCTTTCATCGATTAGTTGGAATAGGATACCTGTAATTATAGTCATACTAGCAAGACTGGCAGGTCTGGGACATCCATGCAACTTTGAGTTATACAGAAAAATACAAACTGATAATAGGCAATGCAAACACTAGATAAGTCCCTAGGTTGTGTAAATCCATAAAACTGGGAAAATGGAAGCCCATTTGGGAAGACCTGAGTAAAGAAGTAATACAAATTTTCGATGGTACTACTGTAAAGGCTAGATCCAAGAAAAAAAAAACTGAAGTGGAAGAACCAGACGGAGCACGATCAGTGTGTGGTAAAGCTAGTCCACCAACCAGACCACCGGGCTAACTAGAAGAAAAGGTCATGGCAGTGCCGATGAACCAAGGACAGGTCACAGTTCTTCCAGGCCATTTGGA